AAGAACAAAAATTTTATTTTTAGTTATTTATTTTTGATTTTGTTTGTTTTGTTTGTTTCCTAGAGAAAATAGTTTTGTTCTATTTTTATGTTTTAATATAATAATATTATAGAAATAAACGGTTTATTTAGATACCTACAAATCTTTCTCTATACAGCGCAAATTTTCCCCCTATGATGCGCAAAATTACCCTGATAGGTGGGTAATTTTGCGCAAATGCATTTTTAAAAAAAATGTAGTTTTTGCATACCAAACAATTTTTTTTTATAAATTGCGCATTATATACACATAGTAAACATAGTAGACTATCGCTGGTATTAATTGCAAAATTTCACATTTAAACTTAACAAAGATACTAGATATTTTGCTTAGATGCGCAGAATTCCCCCACCTTCCCCTAAATCCATTTTATTCAGTTTTTGTTTTTTTCTGATTTCGCATCTTTGGGTTTATTTCTATCGACAACCAAGATAATACTGTTTAAATCCGACTATATCCATGTTAAAATCACATTTAAAAGGTAGCTTTAGGAGCAAAACCGGCCAAATCCACGTTTTTATAGCAAACCCGGCTATATCCAATAAATAATAATGATGATGAGCATGCATGTGGCTTGGATATGTTGATACTACTAAAATTTGTTCTGTTTTTTCACGTTTGCACTAAATTTATTTTGTTAATATTTTTGAATAATAAAGGTTTTTTTCATTCATTTTTTATTCGGTTTTTGAGCAAAACCGGCTATATACAAAACATTTTTTGAAATTTTGGCCTTAATATAAAGTTTTTGGAAACGAAAGTATGTCTTATAAACCAAGTACCACAAAGACCACAAAACTTAAGTTTGCTTTTTCTTTTATCTGTAAAGGCCAGGAAACCGAGAGTTTTTGCCATTTTCCCAACATTTTATTAAAGTGGATATAGCCGGTTTTGCACGGATGCTCCTCAATTGTTCCTTTCTTTTTATAAAATTCAATAAAAAGCATAGTATAACATTTGAGATAATGCGCATTATTTACAGACAATTTACATCTCTCGTCTAGCGGCTCTAGACGTAAACTTTATCCTCGTGAATAATATCCGGCATTATCTCTCGTATAATAATATAAAGGTATGTTTTAACAACCATTTTTAATATTGTAATATCACATAGGTACATTTATAAATTTAGTATTGAATTTTTATCCCATCGTTTTTTGCCGAGATTCGAGTGGCATATAAAATACAGTTTTTTTTTAATTGAAAAGCGTCGGTTCTCTTTTTGGTTAAGTCGTTAATTAGCTTAACGAGCCGTGGCCACTTTTAATTATAACTCTAGAATAAGATGGTTGTAGCAGACTTCCTCCCCACCATCTCTTTTTATCAATTTTTGTTTGCCCACTTGAAACGATTTTCCTACCATTGTTTTTGCCTATTGTTTCGGCGGCGTTTCCTTTTCAATTTTCTACGTGTCATTAATTATTTTTTACAGGGGTTTGCGTTATAAATACTTTGATTTATCGACGAATATAATGTTATTTATTGGGTTTGGGCGTAAACAAAAAGCGGAAAGAATTTTATCTAATGATTAATTAATAAATGAAAAAGCAATAAATCAAGTATTGTCAAAAATGGCGAATGCGCCAACCCAACATATTGTAGAAACTTATTTTATTATTTTTCTTTACTGTAAAACAAAAGTTCTTTTTATCAAGTCGATCGAATAAGTCCGAAGAGCGGAAAGAATCTTGGAGTGTAGTTACTACACTGTAGTAGTACACAAAGCAATTTTAGGCTAGAATACAGAGCCTACTATTCAAGATAAGGGAAGTTTTTACTTTTTTGACGATATTCTAAAATCGTTTTTGGTATCTTCTTCTATCTAATTAGTTTTATTGCACTGTTACCATTAGTTTCAATCACTTTTTTCTGCACTTGACTCTTTTCGCAAATTAATCATTCGATGTCCGGCCGAGGCCATCTTCGATTACCCGTGATTAATGATGGCTGTTTGAAAGCGTCGCGCGCGTTTTTAGCGGAGAAGTCCCCAAGAGTTGATGAAAAATAATACTGATGGCCACACTTGGGACTGCTTAGTAAAAACTCCAACTGTGATTTATGTCCGCTTTTCCACGCTTTTTGGCAAGTTCCCACTCACCCAGAACGACATGAGTTATGTTTTTTTGTATTTGTTAAAATTAATAAATAACCGGCTGGTTATGTGTTTTAGCTTCTTAGATGAAAAATAGAAAAAAATAGAAGAAGCATCCAAGTGCACTTGAATTTTATTGAAACCATATTTAATTTTTTAACAAGTCACGTCAAAATATAAATAACTTTTATACTTTTTCTCATATTTTAGTCGATTACTACTACTACTTAAAAAAAGGACTGATATTTTGCTTAATCATAATAACTTTTAACAAACAAATTTCTTTCAAAGTATTATAATTGAGGAGCATCAGTGCAAAACCGGCTAAATCCATTTTGTTCAGTTTTTGTTTTTTTTTTGATTTCGCATCTTTAGGTTCATTTCTATCGACAACCAAGATAATTCTGTTTAAATCCGACAATATCCATGTTAAAATCACATTTAAAAGGTAGCTTTAGGAGCAAAACCGGCCAAATCCACGTTTTTATAGCAAACCCGGCTATATCCCATAAATAATAATGATGATGAGCATGTCGCTTGGATATGTCGATATACTACTACTAAAATGTGTTCCTTTTTTTCATGTTTGCACTAAATTTATTTTGTTAATATTTTTGAATAATAAAGGTTTTTTTTCACATTTTATTCGGTTTCTGATCAAAACCGGCTATGTACAAATTTTTTTTTGAAATTTTGGTTTTAATATAAAGTTTTTGAAAACGAAAGTATGTCTTATAAATCAAGTACCACAAAGCCCACAAAACTCAAGTTTGCTTTTTCTTTTATCTGCAAAGGCCAGGAAACCGAGAGTTTTTGCCATTTTCCCAACATTTTATTAAAGTGGATATAGCCGGTTTTGCACGGATGCTCCTCAATTAATGTCTTACGCAAATTTACAATTTGTCTTAAATTAAGTTAATAATACACAAACAATGTACATGTATTTATTAAACAAACAATTTGACAAAAGTTGATTATGTCACATAATAAATATTGAACAAAATTAAGCAACACAAAACGTTACAAGATAATAAAGGTTAAAGACGACTTCATTTTATGAACCGGATATTTATGTATTACAAATACTAATTTATTATTTTATTTCCTGTTGCTACAATGCACCATATAGGTAGCTATTATTATTAAACCATTTATAACACAAACTAATGTTACATTAAAACAATGAACTTGGTTAACCGGTTATTTAAAAGTAAATAATTCAACTATTCTCTTCAAACAGCCAACCCTAACTGTCTTAAATTTGCTGTCCTATCTATGTTTTTAACACGCTCTTTTTATGTTTATTTTTAAGACTAGGAACTGTAACACAAAACTTGCTTATTTGGTCTTTCTGTAACGACCACTTGAGGGGTCGGTCAGATGAGAATCATATATTACAATATTTACAAAACATAATAAAAGTGTATCGAATTTCAAGTAAAAACTTATAACTAACACTTAATACAATTTTAAAAGAAATATTTAAAATTTAATCTCATATCTCGTAAAGCTTAAAAATGTAAACTACCAAATCGTCACCCTAATATAACAAGGTTGTATGTTAAAAAAACCGAAAAAAGTGGTATGTGAAGCGTAGGCCACGTATAATCCTGTAGAAACATAGACTTTTCGTTTTTTTTAACATACAACCTTGTTATATTAGGGTGACGAAATGTTAAAAATTAACTGCCCCATATATCGTTCCCATTACAGTAGGTTTCGTTATTGGCCCTTAGCAACAAATTGGTAGAGTGTCTGTCTTTGAAAGTTCGCAGATTGGTAATGGCAAATAGAATAGTTTTACGTCTGAATGCCATTCTGTGTTCGCCGGAACGCTGACTGACGGCTACACGCAGCATCCATTATCCACTATATCCCACCTGCCCTTTAACTTATAATCGCGTGTCAATCAACTATCCCTAAGACATACTTCATCCAGCAAATATAGTATTTAATGATAATACCTACATAGTATTGCAAGTTGCAATGAATAATAAACAAAATTCTTTATTCTCGCATATACTTGTTTATTCTGCAATTTCCTGCGGTATCAGTAACAATACAAACGCCGCTCACATTTCATAATGCTTCGTCAAACACATATTCTGCAGATCCAGCAATCATTTTTAAATTCCATCAGTGTGACTTTGTCTTGGACGTACGGTCGGTCGGTGTTTTGTGTTCGATAGTTACTTTTTAATTTTTAAAACCATTACATGACTTCTGTACGTAAAAGAGTAAGTTTAAAAAAATCGAAATTACCAATTATTATTTTTTTAATAAGTAGGTAGTACATTAGTTTTAGACAAAACATTAAATTTATAAATTTCGTGGTTAGCAACTCATATATAAACTTTAAGGACTATAGTAAACACCATAAATTAAAATATTATTTATTTTAAATCTATATTTGTTTTCACTTATTAATTAAAAGTTATATTTCAAATTTAAAATACAACATTACCCATACATTCCTACCTTTTTAATAAAATATTTATATAGACCTATTATTAAGGTTCGGAAATACCACCATTAAAGTAAATACCCAGATAAATTACTAATAAATTTGAAAATCTCATAAGGCATAAAATTTTACGTTCCTTTTTTTTTATTCGGATAGGGTTTGTAATATAATGCATTAAAATTATATGTCGAAAGTTATTTCGATATTTTTATGAGAAATATTATATTATTAAACGATTTTCATAAAAATACAGATAAACACATTACTTATATATTTTATGAAATAATATTATATAGGTACCAACTTAATATTATTTAAGTAACAAAAAAATAAAAATCCAATTTAAAGACTACTTATTTCTTTCTAAGAACATAGTTTAGCAGCTAAAGTGTAGCTTATTTTTTGTTTCAGGCCGAAGAATTAAATTCGATAGTTGGAAATGCATTTAGGATGGCTTACGCGGCGCAGCTGCAAAAACAACCCAGTTTTCAAGACGTAATCGCGTCTCAATTGGATCAAACTCAAACGGATAAAGTACTTTGGGTGAGCTAGATTTTACACTATTTTTCAATTACCTAACTTTTACCCACTCGTCCGCCCTTCACTAGATTTGATGATTTACCCACACTAAACGAAGTAAACATCAACCATTATTAATATAATATTTTAGCCAAGTTGAATATTTATAATGACATAAGCCGAAAATATGAAATATGTACCCACAATTTGCACTGTAATACTTTAAAAGCATGCTGTAAAGCAGATTAAAATTTTCCGTAAATAATAAATGATAAACCTGAAAGAGGTTTTAAATTAAAATGCATTTTAAGCTCTATCTATTCTGTCTACTAAACATTACGGCTCTCTGCACAGTCATGTCTAGCATATTGGCAAGCAATAGGTCGCAAATTCCATTAAAATTTAAAACTACTTTTAAGATTTTTTTATTTTTGATATGGTGGTGACCAGAGCTGGCCAAGTACTGAGTACTTTTACTCGTATTTCAATTACGAGTAAAAAAAGTACGAGTACTTTTTTACTCATAAGTATATTTCATTTGAAATACTTATTACTCGTACTTACAAACCAAATTCAATGTCCTCGTAAAAAATACTCGTGGAATTCACGGGTAATATATACGAGTATTTCCGTTTATTATATAGATGACTTTTTGCCAAAATATCGTAAGCAGCAAAACATTTTGTTTGAAAGTCTGTTTTATATTATAATATAATACATTATAGCCTATAGGTTTTATAACAAGTATATAAAGTGTGACTTTGTTTGCGACTCACGCTTGTAAAATCTTTATTTATTGTGCGATTTTAACCAGATTTGTGTGTATCTGGATAAACTGTATTTTTGAAGCAAAAAACGTGAAGTAATCCATGAAAAAACCATTGAAATAAAATTAAACTTATAGTAATAGTACCATGTCACTATTAATTTAATTTTATTTCAGTGTTTTTTTCATGGATAACTTGACAGAATACATTTTTTTTTTAGTTATTATTGTGCATTTTCCACCTAATTTTTCAATAAAATTTAGTATAGGGTCGTTTTGAGGGGTCACCACCCCTCAAAACGACCCTATACTAAATTTACACAGTACAGTACAGTACAGTACCATGCTTAGATTTTGATCGCTAATATGAATTCTTAAAAATTTACTTTTAAAAACTGACACAGTAGGCCTTGTATTTTGTAAAAATATGGCGTTTTTTGCTCCAAAAATACAGTTTATGAAGATCTACAGTTTAAAACAAATCCGGTTAAAATTGCAAAATAAAGAAAGATTTTACATGGGTGAGTCCCAAACAAATGGGTCACACTGTAGGTAAAATTATGAACTATTTAGGAATTTTTATTTTTATTTAATATTTTATGTACAGGGTGATCCCCTATAATGTCGCTCCTCCATAATTGTTTTATTTTAAGTGTCCCAAAAATTTAAAAGTGCGGTTATGTAGGTACTAAAATACTTTTTTTTACGTATAAAATAACCACACTTAATTTTAAAATAGTTAAAGGGGGCGACATTATAGGGGATACCTAATGTAGGTATAAATTAAATAATTTTATAAATTTCTATTTGTATTTTTATAGCTCAGGACCAAAGTATGTATAATGTATAAAGAATAATCAATTGCATTAACTAACTTTTTTTTTCAAAAGTACTCGTACTCTTTACTCGTGTTTTCACGATTACTACTCGTAACCGTAACCTCTCTTTACAAATATACTTACGAGTAAATATTTTAAGTACTCGCACTTAAAATATTACGAATACATTTTTTAGTACTCGTGCCCAGCTCTGGTGGTGACTATAGTACATTTTTACGTCTGAATCATTACAAGTCGTATTGTATTTCATTGGAGTGGTAACAGTATACGCGTTATGATATTACGAACATAAGAAGTGCATAAAAAAAACTAATAAACGTTTTATTTTTCTTTTTAGACAAAGGAACTATCTGCTGTACTAAAAAAAGAAACTCATCAAAACATGGATTTGCAAATTTCAAATAATGACGCAACACTGCGTCTACAACCACCGACTTCAATACCTGGTCTAAAGCCCACCCATAAGTACAATGTGCTTGGTCCGGTTGAAAAAAGTCAATCCCAGCAAAGCACGCCCAGCAGCGACGAAAGCAATTCACCCACGGAGATGAATTCTTACAAAAGAATGACTGAAAAACCGCCACTAATAAAAAGAATAGCGATGGGTTTTACGGGAAACAACCACAACGAAGAAGACGTTTGTCCTCTGGTTAGCGACAGCAATAGCACCCCAGGAAGCCCTACTAATCGCCCATTATCCGGTGGCTACGTAAACGAAACAAACGAAAATAATAAATGCGTAGAAAATATTAAACAAGAGACCATAAACTCGAACCTAACTATTAAACACATAGAAATTGACAATAGTCGACTCATCCAATCTTCCGCAAACGAACAAGACTTTAAAACGAAACGAATATCCCAAATATCTTCTAGCAGTACTTCTTCTTATCCTCAGAGTATTGCTCCAACTCCACCACCTCTTCCTGAAAGAACAGATTCACTTAATAACAAGGAGGAGGGCGAGTTAAGGCTGGCTCCTTGGTACCAAGCAGGAATACCCAGAGAAATAGCCTTGGAAATTCTCTCCCACGAGCCCAATGGGGCTTTTATGGTCAGGGAAAGTACCAGCAAGCCCGGATGTTTCGCATTATCATTGAGAGTGCCAAGGAGTTTTCAGCCCTCTGGTATCGCACATTATTTAATTGTGAGGGCAAACAAAGGCTACAAAATTAAGGTAAATAAATTATATTTAGTTTTCCATTTATTTAAATATTTTATTAAATAAATTTTACCGTTTTACTTCATAAAATAATAATTACATTTGAAATTTTACTCACCATAAATTTTACATGTTCATGTTTTATTAAAATTTAATTCAGTTTCCCTATTGTGAAATAAAATACTGTTAGACCTAGGTATAGTTTATTTTTATATTTAAAAGTTCTTTAAGTAAACAAAAATTCAAATAAAAGAATAGAATAAACAAAAAAATAAAAGAAAACTTTTATCGGTTGATTCGAAACATAGGTTTTCTTTGTGGGCTCAGTTATATTTTAAGAAAGCTTTAAAAATTCAATTCAATAATATTTAATTACATTTGTCCGATGTCTCGTGTTTCTGTAATTTTTCTGTTGTCAAAGGAAATTCAAATTGCTTATTTAAATATTTCTGAATATCGCATATTTTATCCCCTAAAGACTTTATATAGATACACATTTAAGAAAACAAGGAAACTATATTTTCCCTATAAAGAGAATATACAAGTATGTATATATATTTTGTATTATTAGGGTTCCTAAAAAAATATTTTTGCAGGGTAGACAGTGTATCTGACGGTCCATAAAAATTAATTTATCTCAGGCAGATTTCAATGCCAAAATTACAAAAATTTACATTTAATATAGTCGCTCATTTTATTATTAAGATTATAATATTGTTTATTTAATAAATATCGTAATTTTGATAATATTGTTAGGGTTTGCCATAATTGACTTATAAAACAATAAAACAAATGTATAGGTACCTATACCTATATCTATACCTGTCTAGGCTGCTTAAACTTTATTTGGCTTAACATGTTCTTTCTGAATTTAATTTCTTTAAGTTAATTGTTATGCGAGAAATTTTATCTGAATCAAATTTACAGGATGTACAAAAATGTGTGTACAGGGATGCACATTAAGGGTAATGTGCTTTCAATTAGAACAGTATCGTGACAGCCGTAGCGTAGTCCAGTAGCATTAAACATGAAAATCCGTTTTCTAAGAAAATTGATTTTCATGTTTAATGCTACTGGACTACGCTACGGCTTTTCTAAGAAAATGGATTTTCATGTTTAATGCTACTGGACTACGCTACGGCTGTCACGATACTGTTGAATGGCGGCTGGTGGATTTTGGGTATACCAATATCTTAGTTATTAGACATGGGACCCACAGCAAATTTATAATAGTTTACAATGACATTAAATAAACAAGTTTGGCGCAAACAGAATTTAAATTAAAGTTTGCGAAAAAAAGTTAGTTTTTCCTGTTGCCTCACCCGCCTCCAGGCCCCCCTATTTGAGATAATTCAAATTAAAGTGGTGCAATTTATTATCTACTATAATTTATCGAAAAATTTAAAATTTTATTTAAAAAATACAAATATTACAGGTTTTATACCATTTTAAATATTTTTTATTTCAATAAAATAAATAATAAAAATTTAAAATCGAATAAAATCTGTAATATTTGGATTTTTTAAATAAAACTTTAAATTTGTCGGTAAATTATAGTAGATAATAAGTTGCTCCACTTTAATTTGAATTATCTCAAATAGGGGGGCCTGGAGGCGGGTGAGGCAACAGGAAAAACTAACTTTTTTTCGCAAACTTCAATTTAAATTCTGTTTGCGCCAAACTTGTTTATAAACTATTATAAATTTGGTGTGGGTCCCATGTCTAATAACTGAGGTATTGGTATACATAAAATCCACCAGCCGCCACTTAAATTTTCAACCCCCTCCTCCCCCCTATAACAGGGTGTAACAGTTACACCGTGTTATAAGGGGGAGGAGGGGGTTTAAAATTAAAAAAAAATCGTGACTGGTAATGAGATCAAGACAGACGACCTGCTGGGGCGATACATTTTTGTTCTGGTAAAATGCACGAGTGTTGCTCCCTAATAAACAATATTTTATGAAACGCTTAAAATTGTACTTTGTAGTTAAAGAATTTTATTAAAATTACATAAATTATGAAAAACCCTATTTAACTTTTTTCTACTCCAACAAGTTAAATATTTAAAATGTTGATAGGTATATTAAAACTTTTTAATTTTTCAGGGCTTTACGAAAGAATTTAACAGTTTAACCTCACTGATCACGCACCATTCGGTTATGCCCGAGTTGCTGCCGTGCCCTCTATCGTTGAGTAGATACAACCCGAGTTTTCTAAAGACAGATTCCAAACGTGATTTTGCTGATATAGACCTTGACTCTGACTACAACACACTGGCGGATTTTCGAAAAATGATGGCAGACCTAAACGTCTAGAAAAACAAGTTTAATGTTATGGGGTTTTCCCAGTGAACTAGTCTTTTTTGTGAAAATTTTAAAGACGCATTTTAATGTGTACCTTGTGATACCTGAAGTTAGAAATCTCCACCGCTGTGTGTTTTAAAAGTGAACTCTTCGTTTATATGGAATTGACTTTTTAATGTTACAAATTATGTTATATTGTGTCTATAATAAAAAACACCCCAAACTTTGTTTTTATAGTAACTAACTGTTAATAAGCTTGGTAGTGGATAATTCTACTTATAACTGCTTAGTTTATCAGTGATTATTTGGACCAATGAGAACTGTTATTTAACTGTTGTAAATTTTTAAGCGACCTAGTCCCAAAAAGACCAAGAAAAAATATATATAATGTAATGTAATGTAATTTTAATATACCTATAAGTATACTTTGTAAAAAGCATATCTATAGGTAAAAGGACTTAAATAAAAATTCCTAATTAACATAATTTTCTTGGTCTAAAATAAAATTGTACATATATAGGAAGTTAAATTAAATAATTTGGACAATCTATTTTTTTCTTCAAATTATTGTTAAAGTCAATTGTACGATGGATTTATATGTAATATGTTATCCTAATGTTAAAATAAATTAAACGAATTTTGCGATTAAAACGATTTAATTTGCAGTGTATGTCCAATGTTAAATTAAAATTACTAAAACTTCGATGTATTTACTAGTCACATAAAATACTGATGCGTTGTTTATGTTTCTGGTATGTATAAAATATAATGTAATGCTTATATACGCAATTGCTCTGTTGCGATGGCGCATTTATTCATAGGCTTGCACATTATTATTATTATCCAACTGTTTTGTACAGTACAACTTTCTATGTTAATTATTTATTTCTTGTACGAAAATATACTTTTATTTATAAAATGTTGTGTTATTCTACAAAACCAACACTTCCCTTAAATTTTATAAAATAAATATTTTAATCGCAGGTTTCTACAATATTTGTAGGTAGATTAGCATTTAAGTAAATTCATCGGTTTAAACTTAAATATAATATAAATGAATTTTACTCAAACGCATGATACAAGGAAACATGTTATGCTATTGCGCATGGTAGTGCTGTCTCTCTCGCTCCGTAAGACGTCACGCTCAAAGATATCCACTTAAGTGGATATACAATTGTTTCTATTCCAAAACATTTAGGTACTGTAATTTTTGGGAGCGCTGTCGCGTTTTATTAAATTTACAATTAAGACGGCTGATTTATTAAAACTGATTGTGAGAGAAAATTGTTTTGAGGTACAATATCTACGTAGGTATTTTGTCATTGTGCCAATGTATTTTTTTTAACTATTTCTGCAGCGCAAATAAAATAATTATCGTTTTTTGTTATGAATATTATTTTAAAAATAATAGAAGTAATAGTATATATATATAGTAACACATGGTGTTTTTTATTTAAAATTGACATCCTAATAGAGGTTGTAGAACAGGTTTTTAAAATAAATATTTTTATTTAGGCTTTTGTTTTCAAATTATCGAACTTTTGTTTTTACATAAACCTTTTTAAAATTTTATCTCCGTTATTTATGGCTGGATTTTAAAAGAATTAAGTTTCTAGCAATTTTTATTTTAATTTCAACAATTTCTGTGTTAAACATTTAAAAAATATAGTATACCTACAGGGTGTTCCAACGAAAAATTGTACCCCCCAAACGTTTTAACGGGTGAATGTAGACAAACTTTCTTTGACACATCAATTTTTATTTCTAGGGGGAAGAATTTTAACTTACGCTTCACGCCCCCACCCGCATTCCTACGCGCTCCAACCCCCCAGCAAACAGATAGAGGTCAAGTGACGTCTTCTGAACGTCGATTATTGGTCATTTTGGACGAAATACGTCAAGTACCAAAATAAGACACATCAAATACGTCATCCTTATATACATACTTCTTCTAAAATTGTGGATAAGGTGACCAGGGCAATTGCTCAGTTACGCCCTGAATATGTAAGGATGCCAGTGGCATCATGCCACAAACGTTAGAAGAAATTTAAACGTCAGGGGTTCTTTCATATAGCCAGGTTTCCTTTGTGTATAGGAGCAATAGACTGTTCCCATGTGAAAATTCAAAGCCCTGAAGGAGATCAGGCTGGATTGTACAGAAATAGAAAACAATATTTTTCCATAAATGTACAGACCATTTGTGGTCCTGATTAAAAAATTAATATTATTGTATTAAATATTAGGAGACAATTTGAGCGAGAAGGGCTAGAAGACAATTTGTTATTGGGAGATAGTGGTTACCCGATAAGAAAATATTTCTTAACTCCCTTGGGCAACCCTCGAACTCGTCCTGAGCAATTATTTAACGAATCATTGATTCGAACTCGCATCACAGTGGAAAGAAGCTATGGTGTTTGGAAACGCAGATTTCCAATTTTAGCTTTTGGCATTCGATTAAATATCGAAAAAGTTGAAGGCATCATTGTTGCAACTGCAGTGCTTCACAATATTGCATGTAATATGCGTAAACGAGATCCACCAAGGGATGAAGAACTTGAAGTAGTTATTGCTGAACAAGTTTTTAATGTAGAAGTTAATAATGACAATAGAAATATAAATAATCTTACTACCCAAGTAGCACAGTATATGATATTCATATGCTCCAGACCTTCCCGATATGTCTAGTATATACCTGAGGTGATCTTCATGTTCCTGTCATATTATCGAAAGCATATGAAAAACAGATTATGCTGTTCCTAAGAATATCATGTACCTATACCGAAACACAAATATTACACGACATCTCATGAGATGTCGTGTAATATTTGTGTTTCGGTATAGGTACATCTATTCTTGCAAGAATTCTGTTAACATCCTGATTGCGTCTGTCGACAGACGCAATCGGATCCCGGCTAATTTGTCACCAGTTAACATAATTATGATGCAAAGTAACAACTTTAATAGTTAATTATTAACTTTTACCTGTAATTTGTCACCTGTCATTTACCACCTGTCATTTGTCACCTGTCATCTGTCACCTGTCCTATGATGAAAGGTGACAGATATCTGTCAGCTTAAGGTTACTGACATAATATAATAGTTATAATATAATACAATGTATTATATAGGTTTTAAAAAAATGTTTTTGTCAAGTTTTGCGCCAAATATTTAAAAAAATCCAGTTCTTCATCTCTATAAAAAGATTACAATCTAAATAATTATTATTTTAAAATATACATAATTATGTATCAAATAATAATCATTATTATCTAATAACTATTGTAAATACTTAATTGTTGCTATAAACCATGCAGGGAACATTAATAATTAATAACAAAATTATTTCTAATTTCTAAAATTTTAAATTTCGCGGTTTAATGTAATTTTCTGATTCGGATTGCTTCGTTGAGCGTCGCCCTCTCTCGCAATCTTCGAGTCTTTCGACATCTTTACAAGCTAACGCGACTTGGCCGCCATTAGTGAACCTGTTGCGCGATTTGAGCCGGCTATGCCATGTGCCTTTTCGTTTTTCTATAAATTCTATAATATCTAGTGTGTATTGTGATCTAGTGAAGATTTGGATTCCAAATTTGGAAGTAGAAGATCCCCTGTATCTATTTAAATAATAAAGGAATAATATTTTTAAAAATTTTCTGTAATTTCTGAGGGTCTGCAGAAAATACACTTTTATTTTTTCGCAATAATTGTGGGACACCATGCATTTAATATATATATATATATATATTTATATATTAAACTGCACTGTTACCTGAAGTTGAAACAGGATTGTAATATTCCATACGCAATGAAAAATATATCTCTATCATATTCCAAAGACTGCCAAATTCACATGATATGCAGCTGAAATACCTTACCATTTTCATGTGCATAGGATATGCCCTTGACCTGAATATCATAAAAATTCATATGATATTCAGATTCCATTTGTTTCCGTCGGTATATGAAATTCATATACAAATCATATAACTGTGCTACTTGGGTAGAAACATCATAATTTGTAATTATTTTCAAAATGTTTTAAAAAATATTTTCTGAATAATAACGATTTTTTGTTTTTAAAATTTATGAAATATGATTTTTGCATAATTTTCTTTTGGCATCAAGTTCCACGCGTAAAATTTCCAATTTTAATAAGTGTTCCTCCTCATCACGATCATTTTTCCTCTTTTAGTCCTCCAAATGGTTTTCTTTTTGTAAAAAAGAGTCCAAATGTCGTTGGCCTTTTGTTTAGGTGTGATCTTTTGTTTAGGTGTGGCCTTTCTTGGAGTACTTATTTCTGTTTCATGTAATATATTTTGAGAATTATTTTCTTTGTCTTCTTCACTCATGTGTGTAACAATCGTAGCATTAGATGACGTTGTACATCTTTGTACAAGGGTTGACGATTGCTTTAACATGGGGGGTTCATATTTCCTTCAATCGCCTGAAGTCTCTGGCTCCTCCAATACTTGTATTAGTATTTTTTCTGATTCTTCTTTAATATATTCATCATCATAATTGATTTCATCTAAATTTCAAATTTATTAAAATAAAAAATTCAGATAGCAATAAATAACTTACCCACAAGCCAGCCGGCCCGCATACAGCCCGAATACGTTTTGCCGAATCGGCCGCGTGCGGCCCGACACATCGCTCATCCGGAAGAAAACCGTCACAACTCAGAAAATCCAAAAATTGAGTTTCTCGATTTTTATGTAAGAATGTCATATTCTCGCACGCAAAATCGTTGAAGAATGAAGCTCATTCTTAAACGATTTTTGGTAACATTTAGTTTTTAAGTATTGGTACCCCCAAAATGTCAAACTGTTTAATAACCTCAAATTCATTACTTTTAGGATTATTTATAATAGCTTTGTTTGTTATCCTGCACTAGTGCAACCTGAACTACACTTTTATTGAAAATGAAGCCTTTATTATTGTTTTGTAATATTAAGTTTGCTCCAACAATGCATTTTAATGCAAAATATTAAGTTCAATGTGAAAAAGTGCAGTTCAGGTTGTACTTGTGCAGGATAACAAATATTGACAAATAACTGAGCCAAACAGGTCAATCAAACTATTTATTGGAAATATTATATACCCACAGTACACAAAACTACTATAAATTAATCACTAGCACAATTGTTATAAACGGTGTTGCTTGTAAAACCTCCTGTGACATTTTTCACTGCTAAAAGTAAACACAATTGTTCAAAAATATCAGAAAACATTAAAAAATAATACAATACTTACACAAAACCTTATTATCCAGTTGACAAATACAGACAGATTATTAATAAATAGTAAATAAAAACAAATCTACTTGTCCATGCAACTGTCATTTTGTGTTGCCAACTGACATTTTGCGAGAAAAATCCCCCAACTAACAACGACCACAAAACAATTAAAAAAACCTAAAAAAAAGTTAAAATCGAGAAAATAGTATAAATCACACGTTGCAGAAGGCTATTCTCGCACTCATTCGTTCGTCCACTCGCTCCTTCGTCGCTCGAGGCCAAATTTCGAATTCGTGCGAGAATATGTGGCCTTCTGCAACTTGTACTTTAATATACTATTTTAATTTAAATTAATTCCAAACATCATATTCTATGTTGTAGAAAAATGTCTCATCTAAACTTTTAGTATTACCCGAGAGATGGAACTTGTGTCACTTCATCCCTAGCGCGCAAATGCATAACTTCACAGAACTAAAGCGACACTTTTCAGTCTTTATTCATACGTCAAAGCGAGACAAACACAGACCTGTAGGTCTGTGGAGACAAACGATTTATTTCGGGAAAAACGTCACATCTCGGGTTATAACAGTGATTTTTGTTTTACTTTCAATTGATAACGGTCATATTTTTATTTGTGTCCTTTTTTGTTACAAGGTAAGTAACAAGTTTAATACCACTTAAACTTAACACCGTCACATTTTGAAATGTGTCGTTATTCTACTAAATGAAATTAGGGGTATTTTGTATCATTTTCAGTTGTGTCAATTTTCTACAATTTTAATAAATGAAACAAACGAAATGTTTTGCTGCTTGTTTTTTTTTTTAATGTGTCACTTTTCCAGCAAAAATACATTTAAATACACTATTTGTGCCCTTTTATCTACCTAATTAATTAGTGATAATTCTACTTAGCGTAATATTTTTAAGTACTTGTACATTAAATACTGGCATAAAAGATTCACAGTGTTGCACAGTGTGTCTTTTTAACAAACTAGCTGATAAAAATCAAACTTTGGAAAATAGATTCAAAAACTATACTTAAGTACTTAATAAATTTTCCTACAGAATACTATTTAAATCTAAAAACAATTGATTTTAACATTTTAGCTAAAATTATACATGGGCTTTCATTAAAAATAAGAAATACAATGTACATCAAAGTTTTAAAAGTTTGACACTAAATTTTGAACACCCTGTATAATTTGGATTATTCAAACTTAGTAAACAAAACTTTTAGACCTTACTTAATGTGTACCTCGTATAATTTTACTAACTGTGCATTATTTGAATTTTTATTAATTTTTAAAACTAGTAGTGCAAAACCGATTTTTTTAAAATTTAATTTAATTAAAAAAATATATGGCTGTAAAAATATATATCATCATGGCGTCGCCCTTTTTTGGGAAAATAGAGAGAGTTTGTTGTAGGTACAAAAAATATTTGTTTGTGGATATATTCCCCTTTTTCAGTAATGGCATACCACAATCGTACAACGTACATGGTCAAAAAGGTACAAATGGCTTCAACAATATCATTGGAAACTAATAGTGTTCAAAAAGAATCTGACAAAATTATTGAATCCGAAGAAGGTCCTAATATATATTAGGACCTTCTTCGGATTCAATAATTTTGTCAGATTCTTTTTGAACACTATTAGTTTCCAATGATATTGTTGAAATGAACCAAAACACACCATATTTTGAGCAGGCACTTGGGTCTATTTCAGACAACGTCCTCACACTTCAAGATGGAAAAAAAAAGCTGTAGAAAAAATTAATCAAGATGATATGTTACAGAATGTGCCAAACTCTAACATACAGATATTGGAATCATTCGACAGCAGTAAGGTACTAAAATTACCAGCCCTATAAGAATATTATGATAAAAAGTATTAAAAATCCTGAAAGGAGTTTATAATAAGCACATCGAGAACCCGTTTTTAATACTTTTCAGTACGCTTTTTAAACCTTTTTGATATTTTTTCATTATTTTTACCCCTTTTAATACTTTCTCAATAATATTATTTTTTATAGGAAGCTGTTTTAAGTATGTCCCATTCAAATGAACTAAGAGCAAGTCAATACATATCAAATTCTGAACAAACTGCTTTTATGCATAAATCGAATCCTATCCTGTCTACCTTGGAGCCTTTTCAAATACCACAAAAGCCACTTGAAGTCGGTCTAGATCTAGAATATAACCAAACATTACCGTCAGGTTCGGGTACAACCCAAAGTCAAAGAGAATTATCTGGCGACGAATCTCGCTCAGATCCGTTTGGTTCAGACGATTCAAGAGCCGATCCAGACTTTTCATCAACATCTTCAAGTAACACCGACTCCAGTTCGTCGTCCAGTAGCGAAAGTGATGAAAATGAACCTCCAAGAAAGCGCAGAAAAGTTGTAAATATTAATAAGACTAAAAAACAAGGAAAAAAACGCTTAAGAAACCCCGACAATTGGCGGAAGAATAAAGCTAAAGCCTTGAGGAATAATGGCAAGAAGTATATCTCTGTTTCGAAAAAACAGAGAACTTTTAATGAAAGAGTCATGCAGTTAGCTTGTGGGGAAAAATGCAAACTACAGTGTAGTCAAAAAATTTCAGAAGAAGAACGTCAAACGATTTTTAATGAGTACTGGAAACTTGGCGATTTGCAGAGACAACGGGATTTTTTAGCCACAAATATGACCCTAGTTTCTCCTAAATACCAGTATAAAAGGGAAAACAGTCACCGACAGCAAAACAATGCTTTTTATTTTGTAGTGCGCAATCAAAAGATTAGGGTCTGCAAATTATTTTTTAAAGCTACTTTGTCTATAAATGATAGACCAATACGGACAGTGGTTAATAAAAAGAAATTGACACCAACGGGGCATTTTATTGAGTCTGATATGAGAGGACGACATAAACATCATACCAAAATAGATGAATCTATTAAAAATGGAGTTCGAAACCACATCAGCAAAATCCCAAAAATTGATAGTCATTATACTCGAGCCAATACGACAAAACAATTCATAGAAGGTGGTAAGACCATAGCTGATCTTCATAGAGACTACGTGAAGGATTTTAATGAAAATAAATTGGAGAGGGCTAATTACAATCTATACGCGAAAATATTCAACGAAGAATTCAACTTGTCATTTTTCGTACCGAAAAAAGACCAGTGTGACCATTGTATAAGTTTTGAACAAATGAGTGATGAAGAAAAGGCATTGCACATTGAAGAGTATAATCAACATCACAAAGAAAAAGAGCTATCAAGAGCAGAAAAAAAAGAGATAAGGAATCTGATAACATCGTAGTTGTTTATGATCTACAGGCCACACTTCCATGTCCGAAAGGAAATAGTTCCAATTTTTATTATGTATCTAAACTAAATTGTTATAACTTCACACTGTTTGATCTCAAAACTAAGGATGTTCAATGTTACGTTTGGCACGAGGGACAGGCACAACGAGGGGCAAATGAAATTGGCACCTGCATTTTTAAATTTTTAGAAAGTATCAATGAAAAAGCTGACGCTGAAAATAAAGTTGTTGATATTATATTTTACTCGGACAACTGTGGGGGACAACAAAAAAATCGTTTCGTTTTGACACTTTACCTGTTCGCTGTGTCCTACTTTAAAAATATCAGAAGTATTACTCACAAGTACCTTATTTGTGGACACAGTCAAAAGGAGGGAGATGGGGCTCATTCTGTTATTGAAAGACAAATAAAAAAAAGCCTTAAATCTGGGCCAATTTACGTCCCAGAACAGTACTATACTTTAATAAGAACAGCGAAAAAAAGTGGAAATCCGTATTTTGTCCATGAAATATCTTATGCAGATATATATGATCTGAAAGCCCTGACAGGCGATTTGGGGTTTAATAATTTTACCAAAAACACAGATGGTGAAACATTCAAAATTTCGGATGTTAAGATTTTCATGGTAAATAAACAAAATTTGGAGACTGTTTTCTATAAAAGTTCCTATAGTGATGAAGATTTTAAAGCTATCGAAATAAAAAAGTCAAGGAAAAAAAGTGAAGTGAATAATGAGATTCAAACCGTTTTAAAATGTGCCTATCAGCGTAAGCCGGGAGTTAACGAAAAAAAGAAGGGATCTCTTTTGTCTTTATTTAATTTAAAAAATCCAAAAAAAGCTACAGTTCCAAAAATTTACTTTGATTATTTCAACAGACTTTAAATTTAAGTTTAAGAATATTGTTTAAGAACATCAATGTTCCTTTTTAGCAATCTACCGAATTATAGTAGGTAAATTATTATATTCCGTTTTGATAACTCAATGTTTAGGTACGTTCTTTTTTTAAACTGTTCATATTTTCAATAAATAAAATGTTTAATACAATGTTTGAGGGATTTATTTAATGAATTTGGAAACAAAATTTGCATCAAATTTAGTAGAAAAGTGACACATCTCTGTCATTGAAAGGATTTGTTTTTCTCATTAACAAACAAAAAATTTAAAGTAATTCAGATTAAAACAAAGTACTTTTAAAAAAGCCATGTTTTAAAATAAATATTACTTTTTTACAAAAAAAACCATAAACATCAACAGTTCGATAAATTAAATTATTTGCAACTTTAAATTGCTTCTCCTGAAAATTTAACTTTTTTGAGTTGTGACCGTTTTCTTCCGGATGAGCGACATGTATTTGTTCCGGCGTGTAGACCGGGCATGTCCACCTATGTCGGCTATGTTTACTCGGCCGAGTGTCGGCTGTGTATAGTTTGCCGAGTGCCGGCCACAACAGCCTGGCCATTCAAAAAAAGCCTTCAGACGTCCTGGATATATCCAGGTATATCCTATAGGTTTAACACACTATAGCTAGCCATTATTACGTTTAACACACTATAGCTAGCCATTATTCCGCCCTCGGTGGTGTAGTAGGTCTCTTTTAAATAGCTATTGTTCATCTTTTACGTGAGGAAGAGAGTTAAATCCGGCAACATCGTAAGCAGAGCCTAATGCACCGCCGGCGTGGTTTTAAAAATTTATGGCTACGCGTTTTTCAAATTTCATTGCAGCACCGTTCCTGCCCAAATAACACCAAACGCCAATTAAATCTTTGATTGCCTGTACCAGGTTTGTTCTATGGTACCATCGTACCAGAATCATAGATAATAAATCAGAATGCATTGAGTACACTATAGGCGGCGGCGGCGGTGAAGAAATAACATTTAAAAAACGACGCCGGCGGCGCTTTAGACACTTTGTCTTTGTACTCCTAGTCTAGGTTTGTACTGCTGTCAGTTTTGTAGGTTATGTTTGCACGTGTTAGATGTTTATATTGGGTTTTTAGCTACAATGAAAGTTAAAGTAATTAGTAGGAATCCGGACGAATACTTAAGAGAAACCAAACATGATATCCATAAAGGTAATTAATTCAATTAGGTTCTAAAATCATTTGTAAATATATTTTTTTAGTGCCAAGAAACTATGATCCTGATTTGCATCCATTGCAATCAGCCAGAGAATACGTTAGAGCTTTAAATGCAACTAAATTAGAAAGGGTATTTGCAAAACCTTTTATTGGAAATTTAGATGGTCACAGAGATGGTGTATCAAGTTTAACAAAACATCCCAAAAGATTGTCAGTATTATTAAGTGGTGCTTTTGATGGAGAGATAAGAGTATGGGACTTGCCCTCAAGGGACTGTATTAGGGAATTCACTGCTCACAATGGCATAGTGAGAGGCATTTCTTACACAACACAGTGTGATCACTTTATAACCGTTGGTGATGATAAAACAATTAAAACCTGGAAAGCCTCTAAACCTCAGTATGGAGAAGAAGAGGAACCAGTCAACACAGTTCTTAGCAAAACAGTTTTGACAGGGATCAGCCATCACAAAGATAAAGGACATTTTGCCACTTCAGGGGAAGTGTGCCAAATATGGGATGAAACTAGAAATGAACCAATTAAAACTTTCAGCTGGGGAGTTGATAGTTTACATGATATATGTTTTAATCCAATAGAAATGAACACTTTGGCCACATGTGCTAGTGATAGAAGCGTAATTTTATATGACATGAGGGAAAGTGAGCCTTTACGTAAGGTTGTTATGAAACTAAGAACTAATAAAATGGCTTGGAATCCTATGGAAGCCTACAGTTTTACATGTGCCAATGAGGATTATAAGTTAGTATATGTGTTTACTAAACCTTCAATAAAAATGTATTAGTTCATTATAGTAGCTATACCTACTGCCATGCTAAGCCCAAAAGTCATATCGGGTTAAATAACAAAGCCCAAAGATCATTTTATTTGTTTTTAAAGTCCAAACAAATTCATTCAATTTATCAATGACACAAGCTATTGTACATAAGTTACTGTACTGTACTGTACATAATATGTACAGGGTGATCCCCTATAATGTCGCCCCCCATTAACTTTTTTGTGTCCCAAAAAATTTAAAAGTGTTAGGTATGTTGGTACTAAAAAATACTTTTTTTTTCTATGTATAAAAAAAATGGAAAATTGATCAATATACAGAGAAAAACTCAGACAGAGAAAGACAAACTATTTCAACTTATCTTAAAAATAATTGAAATATTTTAGAAACGGTTGAATTTAGGTATATGGTATGTTATATGAAATATGCTTAGAATTTTACAAGGAATCGAAAAATAAATACATACATATATAGGGTGATCCATTGAAAAAAAACATTTTGTTTTTCCCTGTATAATGATCAATTTTCCAATTTTCTTTATACGTAGAAAAATAGTTATTCAGTAAAGTCGTATTTTATGAATTTTTACTAAGAACCTACTCTGTGGGACCACATGCCCAAAAAGGGTTAAATTTTATAAAATCTAAAAATTATTCTTTTGTAGTTTGTATACTTTTGATACAAGAAATCTAAAACAACCTGTAAATGTTCACATGGATCATGTATCTGCTGTTACGTATGTGGATTATTCCCCAACTGGAAAGGAGTTTGTTTCTGGTAGTTATGATAAATCCATACGCATATTTGAAGTTGACAAGGGTCATTCCCGTGAAATATACCATACTAAACGCATGCAAAGGCTAACATGTGTACAATGGACATTGGATAGCAAATACATTCTCTCTGGATCTGATGAAATGAATATAAGAATCTGGAAAGCAAGGGCGTCAGAAAAATTGGGACCGGTAAGGAACTTGTTTGCTATTTGAGTTAAATATTTTATAGTTTTTATTTTATCATAGCTCAAACCAAGAGAAAAAACAGCTCTGCATTATAGTGAAGCTCTAAAAGAAAAGTATGCCAGCCATCCACAAATTAAAAGAATTAGCAGACACAGAAATGTTCCAAAACATATATTTAATGCTCAAAGGGAATTGCGTACAATTAAGGACAAAGACAAGAGGAGGGAGGCCAACAGAAGGGCACACACCAAACCTGGTGAAGTTCCATATGTGCCTGAAAGACAAAAACATGTGCTCAAAGATCAAAAGTAATATAATTATTTTAATTTTTTGAAAATATATAGGTATGCTAAAGAAATCAATATTTTTTTTATTGTACGCTTTTACAAATTTTTATAAGAATTATGCTTTGGACTGTCCCCTACCTATAACCCTCTCCTGTCTGTCTCATAATTTTTTTTTATATTTATATGTGATATTTTGAACCATGTCGCGACATTGTCGCATTTACTTAATTTTAAATTGTTGGTATAAAACAATATGAAAAAAATTAATGCAAGTAACCTCTATATCTTATTTCTTACATGTCTTCATGGCATCATTTAAAGAACTGGGTGCCAATTTAATTAATTTTTAGAGTAATTTCGCTGTTACACTTCTATGGCAAGCCGTTTTACCATTTAACAACACAATTTTTATTGAACATCATGGAGAATAATATAATAAAAATTGTTACAAAAAATAACTACATATTGGAAAGGTGTTGATGTTGAATTTTAATTCAATATATTATTTTTAATACGTCTATAAATATTATAATTTTTATTTGAATATTATGTTAACTTGCAATGTTTCTCCTATGGTAATATTAATTCAAATATTTAAAACGATGTAGAATATAACTTTATTGCTGGAATTAAAATTATGTTTAATATAATTTTAATTCAATTAAAATTATGCACACATAATTTTAATTTCACAATTAAAATTATACACACATCATTTTAATTCCTGAATTAAAATTATACACACATCATTTTAATTCACATAATTAAAATTATACTATACATCATTTTAATTGAATTAAAATTATACTATTCATCATTATAATTGAATTAAAATTATACTGTACATAATTTTAATTGAATTAAAATTATCTACATAATGTTAATTTGGCAACGCCGCAATCGCGAAACGTATGCTAACGCTAAGAATGTTCCTTTTTTTGGTAACTTTTCGTTTGGCTAGTTGGTAATGTGGCACTTAAATCACAGAATAGTTCTGTGCTTAAATTTTTTTTTCAACGGAAAAAAGATTTAAAGAGGTAAGTTGATTAATTGTAATCCCATCAACAGTGTTCCCACCAAATACCGCTTGACATATTACCACATTCTAACGTTAGCATAATATGCTAACGTTAGAATGTTCCTTTTTTTGGTAACTTTTCGTTTATATTATAATATTATTTCGAGATTGCGGCGTTGCCGAATTAAAATTATGTACAATTAAAATTATATGTGCATGGTTTCACATAATTAAAATTATACTATATATCATCTTAATTGAATTAAAATTATGTACCCTCATTTAAAATTATACTCTACATAATTTTAAATCACGAATTAAAATTATACTCGACATCATTTTAATTCCAGAAATTAAAATGATGTTATACACCATTTTAATTCAAGCAATAAAAATTATATTCTACATCGTTTTAAATAGTTGAATTAACATATTATATAAAAAACATTGCAACTTAAAATAAGTTTCAAATAAAAATTAAAATATTTGTGCACCTATTAAAAAATAATTCATTGAATTGTAATTCAATATTAATGAAGTTATTTCTTGTAACATTTTATTTTCATACAGTTACAATAATTTTTGACGATGAGTTCAACATGTGCTAGGCAGGTATTGTTTCAGAAAAATTGATGTAATTGTAATAAGGTATCATAAAAATTGAACCGTATTAAACCAAAGATTTGGACAAATTAAAAATAAATTAAAATTAATTTCACAAAGTTGGCAAGCCCTTTTACTATTTAATGTATTTTAAATTGAATTTGTGTACAACTAAATTTTAAATAATCCATTATTTATCAAACATAATGGAAATTGTAACCATTTTAAATACGGTAAATTTTATATCCCTAGCCCAAAAATTGTACAATAAATAGTAAAACGGCTTGCCATACACTTCCTAAAAATGTAAGTAATTTATTATACCAATTTTAAAGCAACACTAACTTTTTAGCAGGGTTAGGAAAACTTGATGTTTATTAAGAAAATAAAGAGTTTGATAACAATAAAAAAACATGATTTTTTAATTTTATTTTAATGGTCAGTATAAATTTGTCATGTAAAATTTATAAAATAATTTAAAGATAAAACCTAAATTAAATAAACAAACTAGGTAATTTTAAGTAGGTACCTTTGTCAAATGATTAAAATTAGTTAATTAAATTTTCTTATTTACATTTTTTCTTATTCAGAATTTGATTATAGATTATAAATTTTGAAATGTCAAATATAACTTGTTAAATATGAAATAACTTTACCTTTGATGAAATATAGGTGACTGCGGCATTCCCAGCGTAGAAATACACACGTATTTTTGAAAAATATTATTCGGTTTTTCCTTTCAAAAAGGAATGCAGGACTTATATATGAAATAATAAAAAACTATTAGAAGAATTGTGTGAATACCTACTTAAATTTTGTCCAATGGTGAATGAGTCTTTACTGAAGTCACTAAACGTTAAGTACGTTAAGTAAGTACTTGTAGCTTGTTAAAACTTGCCACAGATAAGGAAAAGATTAACCAGATATTTTTATAGTTATATAATACAATATTTATATTTGTTTTCAAAATTTATTTTCGGTTAGAATTTTCTCTTATCTTTGGCATTGTTATTATAATTCTGACCACGGTCTTATATAAGACCGTGATTCTGACAATTAAATGTCAAAGTTAAGGCCTTGTACAGGAGTACCAATTAAGGCCTTGGACAGGAGTACCAATTTTAAATATTAAAAATACCAAAGTATATGAGCATACAGTACCAACAATAATGTCTCAATTTTCGAATAAAAAAAACAAACTGATCTGTCGTATTTTTAGACATTTTAATGTAAAATTGTAAATGTTTTATCCAAGGTTTTTTAGCCTAAAACCATTTTTATATTATAACACTCGTAAGCCTATATACCAAGAAAGACTTCATTTTTGTACGCAGTTCAAAAGTCAAATTATTATACACCGCCGTACAATAATGAAAATACATTGAAATAAGTGGTTTCATCTATCGCGTTTAGTATGAAATCAGCAAAGAAAAGTTAAAATTACAGGTCACTGTAGAATAAATAATAATAATAATGTATTTATTGCCCAACAGTTTAAACCATTACAGGACATTTAAATAAGATACATGTGTACTATATAGTATTCAAAGTATTAAAAACATATGTAATTATGTATATAGCTAAGTGTATTAAAGTGTACATCACAAGATTCACAGAATTTATTAAAGTTACTGCACATTACCAATAAAGGCGAATTAAGTCCCAAATTAGTTCTATTAAAGCTTGGAAGAAAAGTAGTTTTATTTCTGCTAGTCAATCTTGAAACAGAAAAATTAATTTGAGAAAGCAAGTCACTACAACTAATTTGAAAATTAAGCAACCTAAACAAAATTGAAATTGTTGCAAATGTCGATAGTAGCAAATCAAGATGTAGGAGCTTTAAAAATTTGCGTTGTACAGTTTCAATGCTTGTTATATGGACTAGATACCAGATTATAGAAGCATATTCCATCTTTGACCTTATTAAGGAAAAATACAGCATTTTTAATGAGCTTTCATTTATAAATTGTTTGGTATTTCAAATGAGAAAACATTTTTAAAGATGAGTTTACTACTGCGTTGATATGATTCTGTGAATGTGGTGAGACTGGGGACATGGACCACATTTTTCTCAGCTATCCAATCAACATGACAGACAACTTTGACCTATACCAGGAGATACACCGGATGGGGTGGTTAGACCATTTAACATCCCTGCTGAAAATGACGGATGATTGCGGATATAAATTCTTCGTCAAAACCGGATAAAAGCAGATGATTGCGGGTATAAATTCTTCGTCGAAGCCGGATAAAAGCAGGTAAAAATATCATCTGATAACATCTGCTTTTGTCCGCATCGCTATATGGTTGTGTTTTATGTCCGGTTAGTGCACCCCCGCAATCATCTGTTTTTAACCGTCTACACTGTGTTTCGTTTATATCTGAATTTGTCCGGAATCATCTGCAAACGTCTGCTTACGTCTGGTTTTATCCGCGATTACCTGCATTTTTTTTTGTCTATTTTTGTCTGGTTTTATCTGCAAACGTCTGGTTTCATCCGCGAGCATATGCTTTTACCCGCAAACGTCTGCCTAGTCCAATTTCACCTGCCAACATATGCTTTTATCCGCCAACATCTGCTTTTATCCGCGACCATCTGCTTTCATCCGCGAACATCTGAAATCACCCGCGAACATCTGCTTTTACCCGCGAACGTCTGTTTTCATACGGTTTCACCCGCAAACATACTTTTATCTGCGAACGCCTGATATCATCCGGTTATAACCGGGGTGCACTATAGTGCACCCCCGCATTCACCCGCAAACATCTGCTTTTATCCGCGAACATCTGCAATCATCCGCGAACATCTGATTTTATCCGCCAACTTCTGCTTTTATCCGTGAACATCTGATTTCATCCGCGAACATCTGCAGTCAACCGCGAACAACTGCTTTTATCCGCGAACATCTGCAATCACCCGCGAACATCTGCTTTCATCCGCAAACGTCTGGTTTTATCCGCAAACATCTGCTTTCATACGGTTTCACCCGCAAACATGCTTTTATCTGCGAACGCCTAATTTCATCCGGTTAATGCACCCCCGCAAACATCTGCTTTTATCCGCAAACATCTCATTTTATCCGCGAACATCTGCAATCATCCGCGAACATCTGCTTTCATCCGCGAACATCTGCTTTTATCCGCAAACATCTCATTTTATTATCCGCGAACATCTGCTTTTATCCGCAAACATCTGCTTTCATCCGCAAACATTTGCTTTTATCTGCAAACATCTGATTTTATCCGCAAACATCTGATTTTATACGCAAACATCTGCTTTTATCCGCAAACATCTGCTTTCATCCGCAAACATCTGATTTTATCCGCAAACATCTGATTTTAATCGCAAACATCTGATTTTATCTGCAAACATCTGATTTTATTCGCAAACATCTGATTTTATTCGCAAACATCTGCATTTATCCGCAAATATCTGCTTTTATCCGC